TTTCATTAGGAGAAATGAACACACACATACACCTTGGGTCTGATGGCCAGTGGTAATAGGATTTGTTTACCCGTGACTGTTATCAGTGATTAGTATTATTGCCACAGTGGTAAGACGGAGAGATACTCATTTTCGTTTGGCGCAGCCTCCCCTCCTAGCTGCGAACATAGCTCAGCATGCCAAATATCGCTGGGCGAACATGTTAGCAGACTTCCTCTTTTGACTTCAAAAGAATGTGGAAAGACTGGGCTCCCCAAGTTACTGCCGCGGCCTGTCTGTGCATTCATGTGAGAGCACACGCGTGTGGAGCAGTGTGCGGGAGGCTTCTTGGCCAAGTCGGTGTTGAAGTCTCTCTAGGGAGTGTTGGCAATCTGTTCCAATCGTCTTTACAGCTGACCAGACGACCAAATGAACCAGGACAGGGACTGCTGCTGTGGGCCAGTCCAGCCAAGGCAAGCAGGGCTGTTACAGCAATCACACAGACATTACAGCCCACTTAATGCTCCCCTGCACACACCATATTCCATCGTCTGCTAAACTAGACAGTGCAGCCCTAACCAGCCATAGCCAGATTTAAAAATAGTGCTGGAGATAATGTGTATGGTTAAATGAATTAATTCACCAGTAAATTAAACTGTTTTTGAGATTTGAAAAGTAAAATGTTTCAAAGTCAGGCCAAGGAGAGCCAGAGAGTGCTGACTTTTTAATGCATGTTGCTTGGTGCACTACAGGCGTTACATCAACACAAGTGCTGGTATTTGCATTTTGCCAATGCAATTAATCATATTTCTTGTCATTACATTAACCGTGTATTGTGAAATAAAGACCCCTTTTTAATTAGCTTGTTTTGGGATTTTGTTAGTTTCTTTGTTCATATCTTTGCTCCTTGTCAAACATTTTAATTTGGAAGGTTTATCAAACTAGCATGATGTCAATCATTGATGACAAACGTAATGGAAAGAAAATCCCAATGGTATGCCAGATGGCAGAGCCCCTGTAGAGCAGTCTTGCCTAAAGTTAACAGTATTCTCCTCCAAAAGTTTAGAGCTTGATGAAGCCAACAAAATAGCTGAATTGACTTGCTGTCAGTTGATACTTCTCAATAAATTCCCCATGTAATACATGAATTTAAATTTAGCTAGGGATTTATTGATATTGAAACACTTTTCCAATGTGTTACAAGCCATGTTTGCACTACTGGCCTCTTTGTTCAAACTGAAGCATGCAAACGCTCTAACCAATCCTTGTGGCTGCACACGGTGTTGCCGTTTTTGGTCAGTCATGACTTTAGATGGATAGTGACAGATGCCACCATTCCAGTCAATATAAAAATGAAAGGTCTTCATCTTTCTGTTTAGCCAATAGCCATCTATTAATTTAGCTATCTGCTATCTGCTATCTTTAGCCACGACAGTAATATAAACTGCGATGTGGGTGTTAGCAAGGATCAGGTAGCTGGACCAATTGGGCACTGACAGACCTCACTGCAAAGAATTCAAACAGGTCATCCGAAGTATTTATCAGATTTAATCGTTAGTCGTGCCATTGTATTTGCTGATCCCCGGTTACATACTCAGTATATTATATATCAGTATACCGCGTATAGGGTATGATAACCTATACTAGTATAGTATAACCTATACGGTATTCATGTGACTATGATCGTCATAGCCGGTATACGTATATTATTGAGTACGTCTATATCAATACATCATTGAATATATGATGTCATACGGATTAGTCCGTATGATGAATACATACTTACATATACCAGTATATTTGGTGCGTATATATAGTCAGTATGGTGTAGTATATAGTATATATA